TATATATATATATATGTATATATAGAAGATATTAATATGTCTTAAGAATTTTTGTCAACCATCCACGCCGGACATCTAATGATTTGGGGAGAGATTTAGTTCATGTGTTTTCTTACATATTGATAAGTTTATCAATCTTGGCGCAGGTATAATAAAAAGAAAGAGTGATTATAATTAATGTATCAAATATTAATTAATGCTGAATTCTGAATACGATCATTTTGATATTTCTTATTTTTTTCTTCCTTATTATTTTAACAATTATTCATAAAATTTAAATAATCATTAGATTTAATTAATTAATCTTTTATATTTTTATTGAAAAATAAAATTTGTATTTATATTTTCTTATTTATAAATGGAATAAAATTTATCTGTAATTCTATATTGTAATTAACTTGTATAATAATTAAATATTCTTTTCAATAATAAAAATAAATCAAAATTCTCAATAATGTATTATTATTGAATTAATTTATTGTTAATTAATTTATTAATTAATTAAATATATTTATTAATTTTTTTTTCTAATCGTTTAAATAATTATTTTGCTCTTTTATTCCAAATGTCGAAATTTTAAACAAAGTATGCTTCAATTTTATTTACTTCTTAAAACTTATAATAAATTTAATTAATTAATTAATTGATTATTATAATATTATTATAAATATTATTATATATATATATATAATAATATTAAAAAATTATTATAATAAAAGATCTATGTATACATCATCTTCAAATGTATAAATGTAATATAACAAACATGGTATGTGATCAAAATGATAATTAATGGAGTTTCAAATAGGATGAAATTCTCGGATACTAAATATTAAAATAATTAATTAACTTTTAGATGAAGAAGAAACGGAGTCTTGATTCAGTCCGGCGTGGTAGGCTGCTTTCTTATCTATACGTATATACACCGTATATCGAGAAAGTAGCATAAACAAAAAAATACCAATAAAATAACTATTTACCATCCACGTCGGACATTTCATGAGTTAGGAAGGTGCAATTAGTTTTTTACCATTCAATCTTGATTTAAAGTCAGTATTATTTAAAATTTCAGTCAAGTGTGCCAAATAGTAGTAGTTCCAAGTATAGTGATAGATCATTAGTTTGAAAATTAAATTTCGGTCTGTCCGGCGTGGTAGGTTGATCATTAGATAATTTGAGGAAGCAGCAGAAAAACGAGACACCGCAACGATGCCACGAGGGACCGTAATGTTCATAGTTAGGATAACAGCCTGACCTGATCTGGGCAGGACTGCGTCCGTACACGGATTCTCCCTCCTTGCTGTTACCATCCACGCCGGACATATCGTGACCTGAAAACATCTTCGATATCCATTATGTTTTTCATTACATGCCATCAATTCATCAACCTTGACGCAGGATTAGCGAGGCTTTCATTCGAAAATGTATGAAAATCGCACATTAGTGTATATGAACCGAGATATGTGAATATATGGATGGATTACGATAATAAAACTAGATGATTGTATTTTCTACGAAACAAAATTGACAGATGAAATGGATATATTGCGATTAATAGATGACGACATTATTTCATATTGTTTCCTTATATATGTATATATGATTTATGAATACTTACAATACCGCTCAAAAGTATCCGGATACTTATTTATTTTTTATAAGATTTTTTACAGATGATTCGATTACAAAATTGCAGATAAAAGAATTTACAATGATTAGATATATTCTTTGTAATCGTTACATATATATTAATATATAAACATTTATCAATATAACATTTATTAATATAACATTTACAATATCAAATTTATTTTTAAAAATATGTAATAATGTAAATTTTTTAAATTATATATAAATATGTAATATTTAATAATAAACTATTTATAATGTCCATAATATAAAATAATTAGAATATTCAAAATTATTTTGCTATTTGAAATACTTTTTATCTTGTACAACTTTCTTTTACAAAAACTTCTTTTTATTTTTATTACGAAAATAAATCAAAATGGTTCAAAATATATATAATATAAGGAAATTTTATTATATATGTATGTTTATACATTATAATTTTTTTAAAACATTTTTTTAAAAAAATAATATTCTATACCGAAGTATATTATAAAAGAACCAATTTAGATTAATGATTTCTTTAATATTACGAATTATTTTTTAAACTAAAAAATAAATAAATCAAAAAATAATTTAAATCAAATAAAGATGAATTTTCCAAATTGGCACATTATTTCAAACAATGATACTTATTATGAAACTAGCGAGTACAGTTTAATGTAATAAATTTTTTGTTTAAAGAACATACTATTTAAAATATGTTAAAAAATATATTATTTGCTAATTTTTTTAAATAAATAATTTAATTTCATAGTTTGTTAATTTAAAAAAAAGACGATAACTCATTAATTTCTAATTAATTTATAAATTTTATGCAATGATCATCCGGATATATATAAGCGGTAATATATATATTGTACAGTTTACATTATATTAATGTAAAAAAATCAATAAAAGAATAGTTTTATATTACAGTTTAGTAGCAGTGTTTCTCTAAGAAATATATTACCTTGCTCCTGCGCCAGAACTGATAAATTTATATCATTCTTGCGTCAGGGTTGATAAATTGTTAACGTTTTGTTAAATTATTTCTATTTTTTTTTTTTGAAAGTCGCATATATTAGTATTAAATAATAAATTCATGATCGGTGATAATAATGAATAAGTACTGTTAGTGAAAATAGAGTACTAAAATACGATATCATTCTGGAATACAATTGTATCTTGTTAACTGAATAAATTAAAATAATTATTTTTTATTTTATTATGATACTAAACTATTTTTAATTAATTCATTTTTCATTAACTTTTGTAATATAAATTGAGACCATTATATTTATATTTTTGTTAATAAAAAATAAACAAGAAATCTCAGTTAAAAAAGTGAAATTTGCAAAATCTACATGAACGACGAAAAGACGAAAATCTTAAATGAGAAAAAACGATTCGTTTAAGACTATTATTTGACAAACAGCAAAGCTCGCGTCGCAGCCGAGTTTTCCGAATGTAACGCGAAAACTGTAATTATAACTGATGATTATAATTGATCTTGTAATAAAGAAGCACATATACTCGAAATACAGTACGTTTTAAAAATATACCAACCCCTAATATTTAAATTTTCTGATCTTTCAGTAAAAAAATCATTATGTATAATTTATAATAAAAAAAAATAAATATATAAAAAATAAAACTATAAAAATACAACTATAGTAAATTTTTACACACAAAATGAATCATTTTATTCTACAATAATATTATTATTTCTATAGAAAAATTAAAATTATATAGTTTTGAGAAAAAATACAAAATAGTTAAACGAAATTTTTTTAGATCATGGTGCTTTGGAGATTTGAAAAAACTTTTTATTTTTTAAATAAAAACATATAATCAAAATGGAAAATACATTATTTTTTTTATAGTAAGATTATAATATCTTATTTCCTAAATGTAAAACCTTAGGTTTTATGTTAGTAATAATTTTCTCAAAATGAGGTGTTAGAAATGAAATAAGAAAGATTCCATCTGCAATGCATGAAGAAGTTTTTAACAAAAATATATTAAAGAAAAAAAAAAGCTTTGAATTTTTTTTAATTAAATAATTTTGCATTGAATCTAAATCTGAATGATAGTCTGAATAAAAAATAATATTAATATAAGTCAAGAAGTTTTATAATTTTTGAACTTAACTTTTTCGAATTTTTTTGTGATTTATAAAATTTACATATACTTGAATATTATGTAATTATATATAAAAATGTGTCTTCAAGATTTCAATTTGTTTTTTATTCAGATCTTTGTGTTTTATTGTTATTTATATTTATAGATGGATGTATAACTTGTTTATCGAACTAAGAGAGATTATGTATATATCTAACAAGATAATAAAACAATGTCGAATAGTGATATTAAAATATAGTGAAAATATAAGAAAAATTATTAATAAATTACTTGATAGAGTGTTTTATTAGCATCTGAAGATAGAATACATAATTTAAAATATAAAAAATCTTATTAAAAATATATTTATATATCTATATATTACGAAAGAAAATATAATTTATCGATCAGATATAATTATTATACATACATATATATATATGATAAGTATAAGTTAAAAGTTTCATTTGGGGTTGGTATATTTATGAAACATTATTATATAGAATATTTTTTTTTCAATCAAATTTATCATCCCCATTGAATCATCATAATCATAATTCTGAAAATTTATTTAAATATAATTATAAATACCTATATAAATTAGGTATAATTATAATTATAAATTATAATTTCTACATTCAATACGTTCACGCTAATATTCTTTACCAAAAGCCCACATCATTCAATTTTTAAAGGGTTGGTATATTTTTGAATCGTACCATAGAAAGAGTAGTGTGTATATCCTCCTCGTGGTCCGTCGCTTACCAGTATCGACGATGACATCGATGAGATCCATGCTTTTGGCGAAAGCGTCCCTCAGATTGATGTGATGGAACGACACAATGCTGCCTTCTCTCTTTGCCCTCTCAAGAGCCTCGCGCCTCTTGAGAGCTTTCTCTCGTCTCATCTGGTTCTTGTAGAACTCGGCGAAATTGTTAACGATAATGGGAATGGGCAACGCGATTACCAGGACACCACATATACAACACACACTGCCGATCACCTTGCCGAGCGGGGTCGTGGGGTAGATGTCGCCGTATCCGACGGTGGTCATCGTGATGCCCGCCACCAAAAGGTTTCTGGAATGCTTATGAATTTGGTCCCGGGCTCCTCCTTCTCAGCGAAGTAGGCGAGACTCGAGAATATGAGGACGCCCATCGCCAGGAAGAGCATTAGCAGGCCCAGCTCCTTGTACGAGTTACGTAAGGTGAAGCCAAGGCTCTGCAGCCCGGTCGAGTGGCGGGCCAGCTTCAGGATCCTCAGGATCCGCATTATACGAAAGATTTGCACTACCCTGCGCACGTCCTGGAACTGGTCGGTCGCGTTCTTGTTCGTCTCGACCAGGAACAGAGATACGTAATACGGCAATATTGCCAATAAGTCGATCACATTTAGACCGCCTTTGAAGAACTTCCACTTGTCCGGCGAGGCACTGAACCTAAGCAAATACTCGAGAGTAAACCATGTGATGCATACAGCTTCCACCATAGCGAGTTGCGGATTATCTTGAAAGTTTCCCTTTTCATCATTTACTTGCATACTAGGAATGGTGTTGAGAGTTAGCGCAATCGTCGAAAGCACAATAAAGAGTATTGATATCACAGCTATCACCTGGAAAACCGATGGATCAACCAGTCAAACGAAATATATCGATCATTCAATCCTCTATTTTATTGTGATTAAATAAAAAATACTTGTTCTTTTTGAAAACTTTCCGTCTTTCCGATTATATTATAATTTTAATATTTTTATTTATGTAATTATTTCTTAAATATTTGATTATCTGTTAAATATCATTTAATGAAAGATATTAGAATGAAACTTAAACTTTTTAATCATTATTTTACTGGAAATTATCAATGAAGTAAACCAACATGAAGAATAGAATTTAATCGTAACGATGATACGATAGAAGAACAAAATCATTATAAATATTCTCTGATTATACTATTATTTATCATGATATTTAAAAAAAAGTAATAAACAATTATTAACAATTACAAATGAGAATTCGATTGCCATCGATTATCTATCATCAAGTATGTAAGAATATTTTCCAATTTATGAATTTCGGTGAAAAATACGAAGAAAAATAATGTTTTATTTAGCCTGCACTTTTATAAGCAACAACAACTACCAAAAACAGGGAAAATATTAAAAGCTCTCACTGCATGGAAGCGTTCAAAAATATGTGTCAAACTATACACCAAATAACAATATATTTGATCACTGACAAAATAGAAGGAAAGCATAAGTAGTAGTTTACACGTATGAAAAAAATGACAATACGAAGCAAGCAACAATTTGCGTACGTAAAGAAGCTTATTATTATCTCAAGTTTAGTTATTATCCTCATAGCGAATAATGAATTTCCTCTAATGCTCCAATGATGTTACTCGAATTACGAAAATTTGATAAAAAGACAGTAGTGCAAAAGGATCCCTTTATAGACGACTGTACGACCAAGGATAAAAAAGAATCGGTTGAAACGTTCCTGTTGTGAAACCTCCAAACGACTTCGAAACGATGTCGAGAAATAAAGGATAAAAGGAGGACGTAAATGCGGATTACTATAACGTTCTAAAGCATTTTCTGCGAAACTGAGGACTCGAATAAACGCAGTGAACAGAATCGCTGAAAACTGCTATAAAAACGTATAGATATCCATATATTTGCACCAAATAATATCTCGTCGTTTGAAGGCAGTCTGCCCGACGTCGCTCGACTTATACAATATATTTTGTACATTGCTCGGCATGCGTATTTAACACATGTTCATTATTCCCTTCAAAACCCCGCTCCCTTTGGTCCACACCCTCAATCAATACCCAAACTACCGATAAACTATTTTGTAATACCTATAACTTAGCCACGCTAGTGCAATCGCTACAAAGCGAAATCAATTCGTCGCTTTAGAGAAAAAAGTTGAGAAAAATTATTGGGTCTGTTTAACTGAAATAAATGTAGGCGCTCGCTTATTTATACTACATGTAACATAAACTTGTACACTCGGAAGTGATAATTTATTTTTACATAATACATATATATATATGTGGAAATTTTCATTAATTAATCCTTTGCAATCATTGAATCTAATTAGAGTTAATATTTCATTTCGACTTATTTATTTCTATTTGTAACACGCAAAACAAATTCATTTATATTAAAAGTTTATTTAGAATATAAATTGCAGAGTTAGTACGTACGTCGTACGATTACCAAGTTCAATAAAAAATAATCCATACAATATATTCAATTTTATCTGATATCATTTAATGAAAGATATTAGAATGAAACTTAAACTTTTTAATCATTATTTTACTTGAAATTGAAATTGTCAATGAAGTAAACCGACATGAAGAATAGAATTTTTTAACGATGATACGATAGAAGAACAAAGTCATCATAAATATTCTCTGATTATACTATTATTTATTATGAGGGGGAAAAAGAAAAAAAAATATTTATATATAAAATTCTTTTATTATTATTGAATCAACGAAAAAGTCATTTTTATTCTGCTAATAATAATAAAATATTATTAATTATGATAAATTCATTTTAAGTAAAATTATTTAATCTTTTATAATCATAAAATTCTTAAATTATCGTTTAAACTTCTAAAAAAATCACTTTAGATTCAATAGTTGTTAAATTGCATAAAAATAGTTACAAATAAATATGTATAAAATAAATAAATAAATAAATATGTATAATTAAATAAATTATTGATTATTTTAAATAACTTAAATATAAATGTCTAATATGATTACAAAGGATTAATATGTTATTGGCGTTTAAAATATCATTTATAATATATTAAATTTTTAAAAAATAATATTTATTCTTAATTTTATTAATTTAAAAGAATAAAAAAACAATATTTTTGTAAATATTGTTTTGATTACCAAGTTAAAGTAATTTAGCTTCCAAGTGTATAAGATTGGTGCAAGTTTAAAAGCAAAAGATGAAGAAAAAAAAGAAGATAAAAAAGGGCTGTTGCATCCACAGCTTATCATGCAATTAACTGCGATGCTTTTCGTAAATACGCTAAATTTTTGTTAGTTATAAAAAGTCGATATTTCGAAACTTATATATTTAGATCAAAAATACATAAAAAATAATCGATTAAGCTTGCGTCAGTGCAAACTTGTGCAAAACATTTGTTGTGCATGATATTAAAAGTCGTTGCAGAAAGCTGTGTTATGCAATTCATTTTTTTTTTTTTCTGTAATACGATTAAAGTGATGAAAAAAAAAAAGATTTGAAGAAAAGATTGAAGCTAATAGCGGATATTTGTTGCAAAAACATTGTAATTTTATTGAAATTCAAAAGAAATCAATTCATATTGATGTGCTTAAAGTGCAATCAAAAAATATAAACTATATTTCTATATTCTTCCAAAATATATTGAAGATTGATTGATGATGGATTACTCACAGCTTTTGTTATTTTTGCAATTGTGCTATGAAAATAATTCGTTATAAATGAATGTTAATTAGATAGATTAATAAGTTTAATTTAAAAATTTTGTAAATAAAAAATGTCTAGTAAATATTTATATATAAAATTCTTTTATTATTATTGGATTAGTGAAAAAGTCATTAAAAGTCATAAAAGTGATAATCTATTAATAATAAAATGTCGTTAATTATGATAAATTCATTTTAAATAAAATTATTAATCTTTTATAATCATAAAATTCTTAAATTATCGTTTAAACTTAAAAATCACAGATTCAATTGTTAAATTCAGTTGTTAAATTGCATAAAAATAGCGTAAAAATAAAATGTTTGATAAAATGTTCGTCTGTTTTCAATTAATTATATAAATAATTAAAACAATATTTCATGTATTTAAATTTTTATACATAAAAAAAATGATAGGACATTGTATTTTTCAAATAAAAATATTTGTAGTATTTATATTTATAATGTCAAAGTTGGAAATTTATCGAATTTCATAATAAATATTTCGAAATAAATTTTTATCAAAAAATATTATTATTATTGATTAAAGATATTTTCAAAGAAATTATTATCTTAAATCATTTATACAAAATTTAGATTGTTTCACAAATCACATATATTTATGCAAGGATTTCAATAAAATAATTTTTTTTTGTAATTATAAACTAAACATTATTTTTTCACCAATCTAATATTACATGTATCAATTTTATAAATATTTTAATAAAATTAATTAATACAAATTATTTTATCATGCACATATTGCCAAATACATTTTTTTTAATATTATTTTTATTTTTCAATTAAATAAAGTCATACTGGTTAACACTTTGACGCATGTCATTTTCTAGAAACAAAGCAAATACAAATAAAAACTATTAATACTTAATGACAACTTTTTTTTTGTATTATAATACATCAAATATTATACAGATAAAGCGATAAACTGCAGCAATTCGGCTCAAACCATTATTCGATATTATTTTTTATCTTTTCTTTTTTTGAAAAACTAATAATTGCCATTGTATAATTATTTTATCAAAAATGAACATTTGTTTTTCTAAAAAAGAAACTGAGAGAGAAGAGATTGATGAATCTTTTATACTTAGTACTCTTACATGTTATATAAATTAAAGTGATATAATTCGAATCTTATAACACGTAATAGAAAATATGTATAAAAAATATAAATTTTTTATCGAGAAAAAGATATAATATATAATTTTAATATATTATTAATCAATACGGAATTTATGATAATAATATTCTCTATTATTATTATATTATTTTTATTTTTCATTATTCATCAAAAAGTATATATAATCCAAATGAAATAATTGCCAAGTAGTTACATGAATTACTTGAATACTGTTTGATATTATCTCCCTTGCATGCAGAAAATGACTTTCTACGCGTTAACTAGTACATACTCTTGTTATATACATGTGAGATCTATGCGAATCTTTTAAAATTTTACATTAAATATATATTATTGTATTAATATTGAAATCTTTTTTTTTCAACATTATTTATTATTAAATATTATTAATAAATAATAATTTAATAATAACTAAAAATTATCCACATTAAAAATAATTACCTATGTTTTATGTTATAAACAAAGTATGTTTTTATATTAATTAATTTAATTGTAATTTTTAAAATATAATTTATTTTATAAAAAATTTTGATGATAGGTAATATTATAATTATTAAAATATTAATAACTATCAAAGTCATTCATTTATTAATATATTACAAATTAAATGCTAATTTTAATACTGGATAAAATATACAAATATTTTGACTTGTCAATTTTATAATATAATAATAATATAAATATAATTTAACTATTTGTTGTATGTTATTTGTTACAAAAAGTTAATAAATAAATTTATCACATTAAATAGCCCTTCAAATATATATAAAATTATAATTTCTATTAAAAATATTAATTTTAAAAATATTAACATCTTTCTAAAAAAATATTAAAATCTAGATTAAATATTTTTTATTCTTGTTTTATTATAAAACAAATTAAAATCGATTCAATATAACAAATGAAATTTTAAAATTCGCATAGATTTAAATACAATAAAATCTCCATATAAACATATATTTTTTACTGAATTCATAATATAA